TATTTTCATCTTTATTTAAAAAAAAACAAAACAATGAATGTAGTTTTTTATTTATCATGTCATGGTAGGATCATGTCTATCTAGGAAAACACTGATAAAAACTGACTGATACCAATAGCATTTTTAATATTAATGCAGATTTTTAATAAATCTGCTTTTAGAATTTATTGATTGCTTTTTTGGTTTGTTTTTCCAATATAAACCTCCAATTTATACCTGTACCTGTAAATTCAGGTATCACAATCATGATTGGTAGAAATGATGGACAAATATTAGTTTTTGGATTCGGAAAAAATTATCATTACATAAAATATTATTGTCGTCGACAACACCATCATGGTTGTTACTGTGAAGGTTTAACTATAATAAGCCTTCTTAACAGACTATTTTACACCGTGACAAGTGCGCTTGAGCTCGCATATTCTGTTTACGGGGTGATTTTATCATACAGATGTGAACACTAGACAAAGCACGTGCCTTCTTGTCAAAAACTGCTACAGCTAAAATCAATGTCTGTTTTAAAACAAATTTAAAAAATGACATTTCTGAGCTGAACTCACCAGATTGCGGAGCGAGGACTCATCCATGCTGGAGTATCGCTTCCCTGACATCTTCTCAGACATGTTATTACCGGTGTGAATGGCTAGCTGTTAAATTAACCGTCATATACACATAATAGAGAGGCTCACGTTGAATACATTAAAGAGTAGGTCTCGGTCCGGTTAACTCGGGAAGATGCTCTCTAATAGAAGAAGGAAGAACAAACACGTCTGTAGTGCAGCCTAACGAAAAAAGCCGTCAAATTAAAAGCTCTCCTTGTTAACGAACTGCAGCAGTTTGTTTCCAAACTCCAACCGTTTCACGGTTCACAGCAGCGTCAGACAGTCAGACTACATGCCTTCGGAGTCACGAGCGGTGAGTGATTTGAGTTGAAGCCCCGCCCCTTACACACCGCCAGCCAATAACAAGCCGACAAATTCAAAACCTCACACGCTCAAATAAGAATGCTAATATCTGATTGGTCTAACAAACTAACACATTGTTATTTGTTTTTTTTACAGTAAATAATCTGCTACTGCGATCTGCTAACAAATGAATTCGATGTCACATTTACTTTCTCGTTTCACTTAATATCCTCCACGCCCTGTCTGTCTGCTCTGCTGACTAACCGACTTGTGCAAGACATGAAGTGAAACCACTCAACATGGCCTGCAGCATAATAGAGATAGGTTAAAGGTAACTACATTTTAAGGCGAGACACTGCAGGTGAATAGGGTAAAAAAAAGTAACTACTAATTATCACATTACTTACCCAGTTGATTGATTACATTGATAATTGCAAACATTTTTTGTATTACAAGTTTTGTCAAATGTTATGTTTAAAAATGCAAATGATGCATTATTTAATTAAATATGCGCTCATTTGCATACATTTCTAGTACAAAAATCTGAACACTGGATGAAGTCAGTTTCAAAATTCTTGTTTTTTTTTACATATTAGAAGCAAATGTTTTTACAGAGGGAATTTTGTCGGGTATCTCTTTTTGTCACTCCATAATTCAGAAAATACTTTGAACAGCCAGAAAACAATATATTTTCAAAATTTTGGGGGAAATAAAATGTTGTATATAATCAAGCAAATTATATATGAACAAATCCCTCTGTAAAAACCTTCAGAACAGGAATAAAAATGTTTGGTGTGTGTAAGTTCTACTGAAGTGGAGATTTATGGCTCAGTGTAGGAGAAAAAAACTCATTTTGAGAAAACGGCCTTTAAAAATATGTATTGTAATTGAAATCTATTGACACAAATAGATAAAGTGCTATAAAAGAAACGCTTAACAGTGTCTTTTGGAAGTTTTCTTTCCACTAGTCTGAAAAAACACTAGCCAAAAAGCCCAAAAGCTCAAAATTGACGGGTGCATGAAAAAACAGTGCTTTTGCCTGCAGTGTCTCCCCTTAAAGGGGTCATATGATGCGATTTCAAGTTTTCCTTTCTCTTTGGAGTGTTACAAGCTGATTGTGCATAGATAAGATCCCTGAAGTTGCAAAGACTAAAGTCTCAAAACCAAAGAGATATTCTTTATCAAAGTTAAGACTCTGCCACGCCCCCCTAAAACGGCTCGTTCTAACACGCCCCCACATATCTACATCACTATGTGGAAATATTTCGCTAATGCCGCCCAACTGTGCACGCAAAGAAAAAAGGCGTGGTTTCAGCAACCACAGTTAGCGTTGAAGCAGCCATGTCAGGGAGACGCTGTGTGTTTCTAGGCGAAAGCAAACACACTTTATTTGGCCTTCTAGAAGTAGATGCATTTAGGAATCTTTAAGATTACTTACAACAGAACAGCAATGCATTTTATGGACGACCGTTTCGTGAACCTAGGAGAGGAGGTAATGCAGAGTTTTTCGCATCGTGTGTGTGTGCGCGTGTGAGAGAGAGACAGGGTCACATCACAGTGGAGTCAGCTGTCTTAACCGGGGCTTGTGTACTGCAAACACATACCAGCTTCATCACTGTGTCTGTCACGCGACTCTGTTCCCCTTTCGGGCTTGAACTGATGGTAAAACTAATGACATTATTTACTGCCTTTACATTTATTTTGAAAGATGAAGCTGGCGATTATGGTAAGGGGCGTTACATTTCCGACGAGTGCTTGTGGTGTTCGGCCAATCACAATGCACTGGGTCAGCTGGCCAATCAGAGCAGACTGGGCTTGTCGGAAGGAGGGACTTTGTAGAAAACTAAGCGTTTGAGAGAGGCGGGGCATAGAGGACCTACAATAATGTACAGTATTTGAAAAATAATGTGTTTTTTGAACATTAAAGCATGTCAACATATTCTGTTACACCAAATAATGATCTTTAAAAAGGCATCATATGACCCCTTTAAACCAACCAAACAGTCAGAAACTTCATCAAAATAATATTAAGTGGAATATAGGTAAACAGTTGATTTCATTACTGGTTTTTCAAATTGTTATAGGGACTCAAGAGATACAGTGGGGCAAAAAAGTATTTAGTCAGCCACCAATTGTGCAAGTTCTCCCACTTAAAAAGATGAGAGAGGCCTGTAATTTTCATCATAGGTATACCTCAACTATGAGAGACAAAATGAGAAAAAAAAATCCAGAAAATCACATTGTAGGATTTTTAAAGAATTTATTTGCAAATTATGGTGGAAAATAAGTATTTGGTCAATAACAAAATTTCATCTCAATACTTTGTTATATACACTTTGTTGGCAATGACAGAGGTCATGTATGAATGGCGATAATATTAGTTTACTTTTCTTGCACTTTTTTCTAAAAATACATGTATATCCAGGCTGTTATATACAGCATACTAAGCAAGAGCACTGCTTCTGTTCAAACATCACTTTTTTTTCTGGTGGACATACATTACAGACCAAGTAGTGTAGATGAGTGTACATATGAAGACAATGACAATATGCAGATTTGGAGAAATGTAGCATTACATCCCTTGCTCACCAATAGATTTTCTGCAGTCAAAGGGTGCCGTAAGAATGAAAGTTCAAAGGCCGGAGAAAGCAATACTGTGGACTCGTATTTTAGCTGCAAGCAACGGTTTGAAGTTTAAAACGTCTTGATGGATTTGTTCCTTACATACATGTAGCTTTTCTTATCACAAGACATTAATTGATGGACTGGAGTGGTGTGGATTACTTGTGCTTTGCAGTGTGATATTTTTATTAGCATTCTGACGGCACCCATTCACTGCAGAGGATCCATTGGTGAGCAAGTGATCTAATGCTACATTTCTCCAAATCTCTTCCCCTGAAGAAACAAATATTTTTTCCCCTTGAAAAATTTATTTATTACCCTTTTAATTAAGAAATCTGTAAGATTTCATTGAACATGCAGCTTCTACTCTTATGTTTTAAAGGGGTCATATGATGTTCTAAAAAGGTGTAATGAAATGTGTTTATGTGGTTTAAGGTTAAACAAACACATAATGGCATCACAACGTCATTTAGCAACATTTAGCAACAAATTGACCTTCCTTTAGCAACTTCCCATTAAAATTAGTTGGCAACACTGTCCCGGCCGGAGCGACGAGACAAAAACATGAAAACCCATTACAAACGAGGCATTTGTTGCATCCAGTGGGGACATAATTACTGATTATAATGACTTATACTGTCTTTTTATGCGTTGCGTTGCATCGCGCCATGTAAACATAAAACCCTGTCTGCATTTGTGATCAGAGAAATGGCAAACAACAAGCACTACTCCACACAGCCCAAAACTCACGTTTGAATCATCAGTGGCAAATCCTTTAAATGAAAACGTACTTGCAGTCTGTGAGTCAGAACTGCCGGCATTGTAGTCTACTCTTCCAGGATCAGGAAACAGTCCTCCATAAAATCTGAATATTTGGGTTGAACTGTTCTGGAACAGTGTTGCACAGAACACAAACACATACACTTCACGACATGGCGGCAGCAACAATACTACAGCGAGAATAAAAGTTGCGTATTCTTTCTTTGCGTGAACATTTGGGCGGCGTTATGCAGATCTTCCCACATCTTGACGTAGACATGTGGGGGCGTGTTAGAACGAGCCGTTTTAGGTAGGCGTGGTTGACTCTTAACTTTTATAAAGAATATCTCTTTGGATTTGAGACTGTAGTCTTTGCAACTTTACAGATCTTCTTTATGCACCAAGAGCTTGTAACACTCGAAAGAGAAAGGAAAAACTGAAATCGCATCATATGACCCCTTTAATTCCCACAGGTGATCAGTCAATCCGATAATCACACAAATATAAAAATATGATTCCCTCAGCCCAATGTTATGAGCTTTCAGAACCTGATTCATTTTAACATAATTTAGCCTGCAAGACACTTTATTGACCAAAAGACTCCAAACATGCTATTCTCTCAGTTCTGCTTTTTTTCATGAATTGCAATTTAATTTTACAAACAGAAATTCAAAAAGTTGGATTCTACATACACATACATTTAAAGGTGACATATCATGAAAATATGGAAACCAACAATTTCAGATCTTCTGTGCATTGCTGAAACAAAAGCTGAGCTTCAAATGTTGGATACTCTTGAAAACAGAAAGACTCCAATGACTGTGATGAGCCAGCGTTGTTGTCTGTGGGCTGCATTGAATGCGTCTTCAGCAGATCTTTTGCCACTTTCATAGCACACAGCACAATCACAGATGGCATATACTTGTTAAATGTGTAGTCAGCCAAACTCAGTTCACAGACTTTGCATGCCAACCATTTCCACTTCTCCTCAGGCTCCTTCCATACATTTCTATCCTGTGTAGTGACCATCTTATCCATGGCTCCATCAGTCTGATATCCAGTAGTGCGACTGGTGAAATAGTCCAGAAAGAAAGCAAGGGTAGGTGCAGCCAGTCTGAAATTGAGTCTGAGAAGGATCAGGCATTCGAGATTGCACAGCTGCTCTCTGGAAAAAGAATTGCAGCAAAGCGACAGAAGCTGTGTGATGCGAGGCGAATACACTTCAACCTGGAAAACACAAAAATCACAACTTACTCAGGTCTATTTTCATAATAAATTGTTAACTTATTAACTTCTACTTTAAAAGAATAGTTAAGTGCAAACTGAATGTAATGTTTTCAGCCACTTAACTGCATGTTAATTGCAATTAAATGAAAAAAAAAAGCGCAACACTGCGCTTCTTGTCCGGTGTGCGACCACCTGAAACGCAGATTTTTTCACCTCCATGCCCAAACGTCTTTGTTTGGGCTTCCGAAAGCGGATGATGTCAGGAAACAGTGGTTGCAATTTATTTTTTATCTCTGTTCCTGAGCATTATAACCCCAATTTGCTATTGTGTGCTGCACATTTCACTGAGGACAGCTTCCACAACACGAGGGAGTAAAGTGCCGGATTTGCCCAAAAGTTTTTGTTGAAAGACGGAGCAAGGGGCGTGGCAGTACTGAAACACAGTCTAAGCTGTTCGCCAATCACAACGCACTGGGACAGCTAACCAATCACAACACATTTTGTTTTTCGGAAGGCGGACCTTCATCAAAGCCGGAACTAATCGAGCCGTTTGTGCCAGGCTGGGGAGAAAGGTATTTTAATAATGTAAATTATGTGGAAAAATAATGCGTTTTTCGAACCACCAAGCATGAGAGCATGTTCTAATCTAGTACACCCCCAAAACAAAATCAAGACTTTGTAAAAGAGCATAATAGGACCCCTTTAAGAAAAATTTACAAAGTATAGGTATAATTTACTTGAAAAAGAATAAGCAAGATTTACTTGGGAATTTCTAATTAAAGCCACCAAGAATTATGTGTAGCCTTTACTTGAAAACATGCTGTTAAATTTACCAGCAATTTCTAAGTAAAAACTGATTCTTAACTTTAACAGGTAAATTCTACTCCATTACTTTATGTTTAGATAATTCTATCAAATAAAACTTTGAATGTTATTTTTATAAACCAGTTTAAATTATTCTGACAACACATGCTTAACAGAGAAAACAAAAAGAATAGTTCTAAAAAAATAAACCAAATATTTTAATTATCTGCATTGATAAAATTAACACATCTGTAAATGCTGTGATGTCATACAGCAATAAATTATGATCCTTTTTTAAAATTAAGATTATAATGGAGACTTTTAATTATTTCTTTATAGTCAAAGAATGGACTGTAATGTTAAGATGCAATGGGACATTAGAAAACAGTGCCACATGCAGGACAATAAAAGGCCTTTAATTCAAGAACCAGCCTGCTTATATGTAGAATGGAAGTTTATTTGTGCGTTAAAAGACAGGGATTTTACATTGTGAAGTACATACTTCAACAGAAAACAAGTTCAAGTCAAACAACTGCATTTCAAAACATGGCATCAGTTCCTGTGCTGCTTGTTAATCACATTATAGAGCAAATGACAAAACGTGGCATGCTGAAAGTGCAAAGTTAATACTCGCTCGACATCCACCAGACAGAGAAACCTTTCAATATTATGTAGATTACCACAGATTTGCACTGCTGGTCCACAATCCACCAAATGTGCACAAAACAGCCATGAGGAAGCAGCTGCAGATTTCTTGAGGTGTAGATTTAGGTCGTTGCTGTAAGGAGGACATGTTACGACATCCAGCAGTTTCAGCTCATCAGGATAACTGAATTATCAAATATGAATCCCTATCAGAGCGACTGGACGACACACAACTTTCTGAGAAAACGCCAAAGCAAGTAATTCCTCTTGAACCACTAACATGGAGTGTAACTGGACCCCTCCTCAGATCCGCATAAGACACAGGCACATTAAACACACATCAAGCTGCTCAATAAAGTGTGTTCAAGCAATGAAATGAACAAACAAAACATTTTTAAGTTAACGACTGTATTTGTAAGCAGGGCTTTTCTGGGTTTGTGTCGAGGTGAACGGAGGCAGCACAGGACATGATGGCCAAACAGGCCACTAAATATCAGTCTCTTTCTCCAGCTCTTTACCCACAAATCTTCATGATGGATGTTTGAATCTAGGATATGGACTGGATGTCCTGGAGGGCTCAAGCGGCGAGGTTCATATGCTGAAGCTTTCCCCACAGCCACACGTGCCTTTGATGTTGGGATTGTTGAACACAAACTCGCTGGAAAGTTTCGTTTCAACAAAATCCATCTCCGTGCCGAGCAGCGTCAGCTGAGCCTTCTTCTCTATGAACACTCTCACGCCTGAAGAACAAACATTTACATCAATGACATTTCTGTGTACACGTGTGCAATTTACATCATATTAGGGCTGCACGATTATGACAAAAATCATAATTGTCGATTATTCCGTTGAAATTGTAATTGTGATTATTAATTACGATGATCACAATTTACGTAGAATGATGTTTATACCATTGTTTGATGCAACTGCATGCCATATTTTTATATGAAAATCAGCTGAAAACACTCTAACTGAAAAACTTTTAGTGCTTTTCTATAGTATTAAGCCTCAAATGTCATCTATACATCAGATTGATTTCTTTAAATTATAAAAAAGTAAAAATATGAATGTTATTATAATGTTATACTAAAACTAAAATTAAAATAATGGGAAAAACCCTTAAGATAACGCGTAGAAAGAAAAAAAACGCATCTTAAGCATGCAGAATAACATAAGTGGACTTTGAACGATTAATTGCCGCTTTGAACGATTATGTAATTGTGGCATCCATAATTGTAATCGCGATTAGAAATGTGATTAATTGTGCAGCCCTACATCATATACACTAGTATTTAAGGGTGCGTTCACACTTGGCATGTTTGGTTCGATTGAAACGAACCCTGGTGCGATTGCTCTGTTAGTGTGGTTCATTTGAGCATGTGTGAACGCTGCCATCCGAACCCTGGTGTGGTTCGAATGATATATGAACGCAACACGCACCAAATACTTATAAACGAACCAAAAACAGGAAGTAATGACAAGATACGATGCTATGCGACATGATTTGACGACGCGGTGTAACCAAAACAAAATGAGCAGAGGGCAAACGTAAAGTGCCTTTTATGAGCTCCTTGTGAGTTTGCAGGTGGTGGAAATAAAATGTATATATGATAATATATGTAATATATGTACACGCAAGAATGAGCACGCTTAGTCCAGCAGATGGCATTAGGTGTGTTCGACTGAAAGTGGCGCTGAGCGGACCGATCAGTTAATAGGTGCTTTGATATCATACACCCGCAGCGCCGCTTTAAGTCTAACTTTTGTTTGGGGTGTTCGGTGAGTTCCGTCACGATATATACGTCATTCAAGTCGACCAATCAGGTTGTGAACGTATCACTATGCCTTTAGGTTCGGTGTCTTTAGGTTCACTGTCAAAAATGCCAATGTGAACGCTGAGCGGACCAGGACCATATGTATCATTTTCCTTTTTGGTCCGGACCAAATGAACCAAACAAACCGAACTACAAGTGTGAACACACCCTAAAACTTTATACTTTTATTCATCAAGGATGCATTAAAGTAATCAAAGTCTACAGTACAGTCATTTATAATGCTACAACAGATTTCTATCTCAAATAACAACTGTTCTTTGAACATTCTGTTCACCAAAGAATCCTGAAATATGTATGTTGAGCAGCAAATCAGCATATTAGAATGATTTCTGAAGGATCATGTGACTGGACTAATGATTCAGCTTTGATCGCAGGAATAAATTACATTATACAAATATATTCAAATAGAAAACTAATTTTAAATTGTAATAATATTTAACAATATTACTGTTTTTACTCCATTTTTGAACCAATAAATGCAGCCTTGATGAGCAGAAGAGGCTTCTTTCAAAAACATAAAAATCGTACTGACTTTTGAACGGTAGTGTAAATGAGATATAATAATGTTATTGTGTTCCTCACCATCTTGTAACACCTCCTCGTCTGATTTGTCTTTCTCCTTAGTATAGTCTAGTGTGTAAGTGAGGCCATTGCAACCTCGGGTTCGAACACCAACTTTGAGGCCGATCTGTTTGAAGACAGGTGAATATATAATCCAAAGAATGAGACGGGAAAAATGTATCACTGGGGCTGCAGATGTTAATGACAAATAATAAAACTAGTACTCACATATTCTGGTTTGTTCTGTAAAAGTTGCTTGACTTTATTCACAGCTGAAGGTGTCTGAGAATAAAAAGTGTGGCATTGTAATAATTTGACAAATTCAGTATGATAAAACACTCAGAAATAAAGGTACAAAAGCTGTCACTGGGTCAGTAGTACCTTTTCAAAAGGTACACTTTTGTACTGTTTTACCTCAGAAGTGTGCATATTAGTAGCGTAAAGGTACATATTGGTATCTAAAAGGTACATAGTAGTACTTTTTTTTTTTTTTTTTTTTAAAACTACCATCCCAGTAATGGCTCTTGTTCCTTTCTTTCTCAGTGTGAAATGTCATTTGAAAAAGATATGTTGGTTTCAAATCACGATGACCAAGATGATTTTTTCACCAAAATACAGATGTAAAGTCAACATCATTTAGATTAAAAGTTATCAAATATTTCCCTAAAGTTTGATATAAAGACAATATTCAAATTATACTTTCAACTACAAATTTAAATCAATGAAATATGAAAAATGTTGAAACGTATGCATTGCTTTAATCAACTGAAGATGTCTAGAAGACTCTCCAACTAAATCACAAAAGTTTTCAAATAAATAAATAAGCAAATGAAAGAGAATATAGTTTATCTGACAACTGTCCTGTTGTTTTCCTATCCTATTAACTACAAATTTTGATTTGAGTGCTTTTCACCCAAACGTTCATATATTTCTCCTTCAATCACAAACAGCTTCTTAGGGAATTTGGCGGTGTGATGTCTGGTGAATTTCTGGGTGACTGGATATGAAACCAGATGAAACCATTTTTTGTGATGTCTGAGCTCCTTCTGCTAACTAACATGTGACTCCATGTTCTGTTTTACAAGAGAAAATGCTACAAACATAAATAAGATGCCTGCGCTTCCATTGACAATGGCAAACTAGCACACCCACAAGTTCGAGATAGTCTCAAGGCTGATAACTGGAAGTTTGCTGGTTTAAGGCCTTTAAGCACTCATCAATTTTGGGCTATGTCTCCTTTTAGACTAGTGGGAAAAACATTGAAAATACACATTTAAATTTATTTTAAAGGGGTCATATGATGCGATTTAAATTTTTCCTTTCTCTTTGGAGTGTTACAAGCTCCTGGTGCATAAAGAAAATCTGTAAAGTTGCAAAGACTAAAGTCTCAAATCCAAAGAGATATTCATTCTTTATAAAAGTTAAGAGTTAACCACACCCTCCTAAAACGGCTTGTTCTAACACGCACCCACATATCTACATCACTATGTAGGAAGATTTGCATAACGTCGCCCAAATGTTCACGCAAAGAAAGAAGGCATAACTTTTATTCTCGCTGTAGTATTGTTGTTGCCGCCACCATGTCGTGGAGACGCTGAGTGTTTCGCTGTGAAAGCGAAACTACTTTGTTTGGTCTTTCAAAAGAGGACAGCCAAAAGAGGATCTCTGCTTCGTCATGCCTGGAGCTGATCCGTGCTGGTTGCTGAGGAAATACAATAACTTTGCGCTGGGGATCACCGAATCGGCTTTCACCGTGGACGAAGCGGAGTCCAGCCCGGGGTCGTCACATGTGGTTGCCGCAAGCCCTCCAGACACTCCTTCGTCGAATCCACCGGCCGCGCCGTTCTCAAGCCTGCCGCCTCTGCTCACTCTAGCCCCCGGCCTCTGCTCACTGTAGGCCGCCGCATGTGATGCTGTGTTTCGTTGTGAAAGCGAAACTACTGTTTAGTCTTCCAAAAATGGACACGACTAGAAATCTGGTTAAGTTGTATTTACAACACTGTTCCAGAACACTTCAACCCAAATATTCAGATGTGTGCAGCATATTTTATGGAGGACTGTTTCCTGATCCTGGGAGAGTAGACTACAATGCCGGCTGTTCTGACTCAAAGACTGTAAGTACGTCTTTTATATTTAAAGAGTTTTTATATTTTTTATATTTAAAGCAAGTTTTTTGGGCAGTGTAGAGTAGGGCTTGTTGGTTGTCATTTCTCCGATCACAAATGCAGACATGGTTTTATGTTTACGCGATGGAACGCAACGCGTATAAAGACAGTACAAGTTATTATAATCCATAATTATGTCCCCACTGGATGAAACGAATGCCTCGTTTATAATGGGTTTTCATGTTTTTGAATCATCGCTCCGGCCTGACAGGGCATCATCACAGTATGGTGAGGGGCGTAACATTTCCGTCTCACGCTTGAGGTGTTCGGCCAATCACAACGCACTGGATAGCTGGCCAATCAGAGCACACCTCGCTTTTCAGACCGATGAGCTTTGTAAATATCGACGCGTTTCAGAAAGGCGGGGCATAGAGGAGAAACAATAATGTACAGTATGTGGAAAATAATGTGTTTTTTGAACCTTAAACCGCATAAACACATTTCATTACACCAAATACACAAAATAATGTTCTTTTTAGAAGCATCATATGACCCCTTTAAAAACAAACCTAAATGATAGGGCAGTTATCTGCATGGGCGTAGCTTGTGGGGGGGCCAGGCCCATAGCGATTAAAGAATTTTACTAAATATTTATTTATAACGTTTTTTCTATTAAGTAAAAATGCATATAATGCAGTTAATAATACATGTAAAAGTTAATACGTAAAAGTTAATACATTTTAAATTGTTATTGTAAGTAAATTAATAAATCAAAACAAACTTAACGTCTCCCTCAATCTCATTTGCGTAAGAATTGTCACGTGACGAATCTGCATTTTGGTGGATAATAGACTTAGATAATGGACGGTAACGCTTGCCTATTGTGTGGAATAAAATGATGTTCCGCGTTATTAACATCATACACTGCAGAGAAATCTGGAGACACGAAAAACTCAGATGAAGATATTAATGCCGTGCTTGATGATTCCTGACAATCAGATAAAGCTGATCCACAGGACGCAGCCGGTTTAGCCGCACACTACTTTTATGCCGACCATTTACATCCAAATGTTATTTAATTTTCACAGAACACAACCTTTAAATAGATTTTAGAATATAAGCTGTTTATCGTCTATTCAGTAAGACTAAATAAAAAGTGTGCGCCTCATTGTGCATAACTTGAATCAAGCCCAACAAATGTCTGTTTTAAAAACAGTGGATGAGTAATTCACTCCTTGATTTGCTTAATAACAGTCTCCTTTGAGATCGTTTTGACAGACATGTTAATTGTGCATTTTAAATGTGTTTATTGCTAAGTTTAGTGTGGCAAAATAGAAGCGCAGCTGTAATTCGTGGGCAATGTATGTGGTTACCATGACAACCTCCATACAAGGAACATTCATCAAGGTGTTCAAACTGGGGTTCATGATAATACTGAGCTCCGGCTGCTGTAGATCCAAAACCGGCTCACTTTAGAAGATTCAGTTGAAAGGGCTCCACTTCTCCATAGACGCATTTACGGACGCATTTCTGCTGGCTAGACTACCTACAATAAAACAGGGAAACATGATCAACATTATCAGTTACTGAGCAAAGACAGCAGCTGCTCCATGACCAATGACGGTGTTTTGAACTCCTCTGCCAGTGTCAAATAAACCACTCTCAGTCCACCAGTGCATTGGATTGTGTTGCAGCAGTGGCTTCGAAAGTCTGAGCAAAAGCTTGTACTTTATTGTTTGGTCAGTTTTCCTTATTAACTGAAGGAAGGGGAAAAAATCCAGAGAAAAAAAAAAAGCTGTCTTTCGACAAATTATTTAGATAAACTTTAAAAAAAAAAGTATACAATGATAAACCTCACATTTGAACCTTTAAACAATTTTTAAGAAAAGGGTTTATTATACTATTTATATATTATTATATTTAAAATATATGATCATATGTGACCTAAACATAAGCCGTGCTTATTAGAATGGCACATTTATCTGAAAGGTGACGAGTTTGCAGGTGATATAAACTCTATAAGGTAAACAACGTCATTATTCATTAGCCGTGGATAATTAGCAATCAGCAATCGCTTGGCCTAAACCTGTGATATTTGTTGATTGCAAGCGGTTCTGAAACCATGAGCCTGTAGAACATATAACAACGCCATGTATACGCTTTCAAACGTCTTTTAAATCTTTTTAAACAGATTCCGAAGATTTTTCAAACATTAGACATCATACACTTACTGACTTTGTAAATTGGCAGAAAATTGGGGCAAAAATCGTGTAGTGTATTCCAGGCTTAATGGTTTTAGTTTTAGTGAATCACCTACATTATAGTTTCTCAAAACTGCGATGACTGACACCATGATAACCATAGCAATGTTCTGGCGTCTTGCACATTTGGTATTTGCATTTTGTTTATTTACCATAATATTACAACTACCAAAGACTCTTTATGTTCAGTGATTTTAACTAAACCGCCATTGACTAAGCTGTTGGGTTTGGGTTATGCTCGAAAGGTTGCTTTGCAGAACAGACTCTCAAAGGGTTGCCATGTCCACTTAATACAAGCAATGCTTTTTAAGCGTCATTGGGCTTGTTGTTTGGGCTCAGTAAAGAAGGGAGGTGCAGGTTGCGATATTTTAGTATGTGGCTTATTCCTAGGGCTGGACAATAATTCAGTATCAATATGTATCGCAATATAATTTTTTTCAATAACGGTGATATGATTTTTAAACACATTTCCGCCATTACTGGAGAAACCGTTAGTTCCACCGCTCTCACAGCGCCTCCTGCTGGCAGACAAGCAGTTTGCATTTTCAATAATAAACCCATTTCCAGCAACATGCTTTTGTTGTTGCTCTCACATTTTTTTGTTTGTATGAAGGCTAAATACCAATAAAAGGTGAACATTTATTTATATAAATATTATATAGTTTTATAGGAGTAGGTTTCATAGAGTTGGCAAATTAATTTTTCATAAGTTTGTAGGTACAGACATCTGTTGTGGTCGTTCTTGGCCGTTTTTATGAGGCTTTTTTAATAGTGCTCATATCGATATCGGAATTATATCGTATCGACCGAAATTAAGAAATATATCGTGATATAAATTTTGGCCATATCGTTCAGCCCTACTTATTCCAAGATAAATTGTTCTGATTTGAGTTTATTATGGCCTTGTTCTTATTTGCTTTTTTTTTTTTTTCCATAGTAAGGTCTGGCAACATCAATGAGTCAAGATGTATCTTGTTTCCTGTGATTTCTTGAGCTGCACCTAGAGAAAAGGCATGACTGATACGCGTTTAAATATGTCATTAACAACTAGTTATTCAGTTCTGGTGAATCGACCACTGAATTTAACAGCAGCGTGTACAGCATGTGGCCATATCTTAAATTCACAAAATTAACCAATAACATTCAGCACAGCATAAAACACCATGTACACATGTAGTGCGCTCACCTGCTTCAGGACCCAAAACCATCCTCTTTGCTTTTCGCTTCTTTTTTCTGTCCTGCTGAGGACTGTCCTACAAACACACGAGAATCCAATTGAGTTCTGGATTTTAATTCCAAGCCAAAACTACAGTTTTAGCACAAAATGATAACTGTAAATGAGATCGTATCGGACATACTAGTCTGTCCCTGTCTGACGCAGAGCTTCTTTGGTATGTGTTTGGGGAGGATTCTGCAAAGAGAAATACACGAGTGACTCCTGATCACATTCCTGCAGAACTGTAACAATGAACTGAGCGCAGCTACCTATGGATTTGGACAGCAGGCAGTCTTTCTTGATGTGACCGCTGGAGCCGCACAGATAACAGCATTTCTCCTCCCTCTGCCGCCGCCGTCTGTCAGTGTAAGGGCTGCCATCCGTCATCACTCTGCCGTCAGGTCTGTTCACATCACGTCCACTGAACAATCCATCATTGTCACGTCTTTGCCTTAGCAAACCATTGAAACATTGAAAAATCAGACTAAAAGTATCCAGTGTCTGATTTTGTAAGGATTTATTTAAATTTTAACGTGCAAATGTGCACTACAGTTCAGAGTTTGGGGTGATTTTGAACGAAGTCTCTTCTGCTCACCATTTTATCAAAAACAGTCACATTGTGAAATGTTATTACAACTTAAAATAACCATGTTCTATGTGAATATGTTGTAAAATGTAATTTATTGCTATGATGCAAAGCTGAATTTTCAGCATCATTACTCCAGTCTTCAATGTCATATGATCCTTCAGAAATCATTCTAATATTCTGATTTACTTCAGCAGATATTTTGCTTATCTTATTATAATAAATATTACTGTTTTACTGTTTTTTTTATCAAATACATTTCTCATTTTTTATTATCAGTGTTGAAAACAGTTGTGCTGCTTCACATTTTTCAGGTTTCCTTGTTGAATAGTAAGTTCAAAAGAACAACATTTATTTGAAAATAAATCTTCTGTAACAATTTGAAAGCTTTACTGTCACTTTGGATTAATTTAATGCGTCCTTGTCTTAATAATAGTGTTCAATTCTATTTAGAAATCTTACTGACCCCAAACTTTTTTAACAGTAGAGCATGTTCTCTATGGATCGTTGTAGCAGGAAATGTAGAAAAACATGTTCAAAATGTAAATATAGCATTCAGTGTGAAAAATAACCTAAACTTTCATAAAGGTAAAAGGCAAAAGGATACTTTATAACAGATCTTGTGCTGAATTACCTCCTTCGCATTGGACAGTCTTTCATAAAATGGCCAATCTTCCCACAAATTCGGCAGCAGCGGTCATTGGGTGCAAGTTTGCCCTCTGTCAGCACCTCTGGGTCAAAGAAATACTCCTGCAAACACAAAAACGATATTAAGTACAATGACTTGTAAGGCATTTTACAGAATTTGCTAACACCAAATTCTGCATGACCATATTTTAGATCCCTTAATTCCTAAATTTAACAAGTACCTTACTATTGTTAAAGGGGGGTCTAATGCTATTTCATGCATGTTGAGTTATACTGTTAAAGAGTCGGATTCTCATGCTAAACATGGCCAAAGTTTCAAAAAACAATCTGGATGTAGAACAGAGAATTTCTGTGCCAAATACACTCTTTCTGGTTTCGTAAAAGTTTCGGAAAGTTTTTTCCGAGCATGGCTTTTCATGACGTCATGAAGGGTGGAACTCCTTGTATGGGCATTTCTCCCAGAAGAGCTGCACAGGACTTGCTCAGGAAGAAAGTCTCCAAAGAAGTGTGTTTTTGGTTTTAAGTTCAGCTTCCCAAAGAACGTAAACAGCGGATGCAGTTTGTTTTTCCGGGGCAGCAATGGAGTTTCGCAAGTGTGTTTCTTGACGAACGTTTTATAAACAAGGCCCATTTCAATGCTGGATTAGCACATCGTTTGATACTGAAAGATGGAGCAGTCCCAGCGATAAAAGACCCTGGGGTCATGATTCAGAACTGCAGACGGTAAGTGAAACGGCATCAAATTTCGGAAGGCAGGCCTTCATCAAACCCGGAACTAATCGAGCCGTTTGTGCCAGACTAGGGAGAAAGGTATTGTAATAATGTAAATTATGTAAAAAATAATGTGTTTTTCGAACCACCAAGCATGAGAGCGTGTTCTAGTACACCCCCAAAACAAATTCAAGACATTGTATAAAAGCATAATAGGACCCCTTTAAGCAGCTAATTAGGAGTTTATTGAGACAAAAGTCATAGTTAATTGTGAGAATTGGTCACCAAACTAAAATGTGTCCCAGAATGTATATATGGTCTAGACCAGGGTTCCTCAAATCTTACCCTGGAGGTCCAATGCGCTGCAGAGTTTAGCTCCAACCCTGATCAAACTCAGCTACCTGTGATTTTCTAATGATCCTGAAGACATTGATTAGCATGCTCAGGTGTGTTTGATTAGGGTTAGAGCTAAACTCTGCAGGAAAGTGGATCTCGTGGGCCAGATTTGAGGATCCCTGGTCTAGGTAAAGGATACAAACCATTTTATTGGAATACTCTGGTGGGAAGCCTCTGACAGGGGTGCCAAAAACGCTGCGGGCATTGATGAAGGCCTTCAGGATGAAACTCGCCACTGCAAACAAAAGACACGAACAGCCACAAGGTAAAAACACTGCATTAGATGACAAGATATCAAGACAAGGGTCATTTTCAAAAAGGCAGGGATGAGTAATGGTTGACTACTATATTTATATATTTATAAGTGCGGTTAAGGGCCGTTCACACAGAATGCATTTTCCCATTCCAATGCACTACTTTTCTATTGTTTTCTATGTAAGCATGCACTAGACAGATGTGTATGTCAGTACAGTTGTGCTTGCGTTTTTTAGATGCCGTGTTATGTTAAAAGAATAAAAACATTTACACACAGCGCCGCTCATCAATGTCAGTTCCCAAAAAATTTACAAATTAGAAGACCCCGGAGGCGGGGCAAGCGTTGAAAGATTTTGTTTACAACAGCAAGTTGGCATAGCAACTATTATATTTGACGGCAACAAGGCGGAGGAAGCATTCTGCGCTGCGCTTTTTAAAAGCCATTCCTGAGTACTGAGTCTCACATTTTTAGACGCAAAGACACGTTCTGTGTGAACGAACCCTTAGAACACCGAAATAGTTAATCTCACATGGTTTAACAATCAAGGTCATTGATGGATAACAGTAGCTAAATGCAGGTGTTTCTTTTAAATATGGTGGCTGAAGGTTTATACATTAGAATATAAAGCTATGTAAAGCGATAAAAGTTACGAGTCTGTACGAAGGATTATACATACAACAGTAAAAGAAAAAAACAAAAACATGACATACTTCTTCGTGAGAGACCTGCTCCAAGATTATGACTCAAATCAAAAGGATCTAAAAGAAACACACAAATGTTAGTTTTAAAAGTACTGCTTTACATTATGCCTACTTTCATAAAGTATATTATAAAATATGTACAAAATGTTATTTTTTGTGTTTTTTCTTTTTCATTCATTTTATCTCTCAAAATGATGGATGTCATTTTAAAAATATTGAAATGAGCAGAAGTTAAAGCAAACTCTTATTCATATAAAGTAAACATGTCACTTTCAGAAAAAAGGTGCAAAATCTGTCACTAGGGTACCGTACTTATATGCACCCTTTAGGGCTAAATAAGTTGCAAAAGTGTACGTTTTGAAAAGGTACTGGCCCAGTGACAGCTTTTGTACCTTTATATCTGGAGAGTACAAAATGTTACTGCTGCATATTCTTAGGTTCTTGGTCTGATTTGCTCTTACCCTCAATGGCTAGATGTTTGGAGGTCCATTGCTTCTTGAAGGTGGTGAGAGGCTCTTTTCTGCGGATGCAGATGACAGTCTCCTTGAAGTCAAATATCTCTGTGTAAAACTGCAGCAGTCCAAACCACAGCTGCCCCACAGACTCCTTGTTCTTTTTGTACTCCGGCCAGTATTTATGCTTAGGAATCAACAACACCACCACACTTATTGGGGATTAAACCAGTAAGACAGTAATATTTTGTAATAATCAGAAATGTTTCTTGAGCGGCAAATCAGCATATTAGAATGATTTCTGAAGGATCATGTGCCACTGAAGACTGGAGTAATTATGCTGAAAATTCAGCTTTGCATCACAGCAATAAATTACATTTTAATACATTCAAACAGAAAACAGTTATTCTTAATTGCAATCATATTTTACAGTATTACTGTTTTTACTCTATTTTTCATCAAATAAATGCAGCCTTGTGAACATGAGAGACTTGACTACTGTACTGTACACTAAAAAACAGACTAAAAGGATTCTGTAGGCTTTAAAAGCAAATATGTGAAAGCTGTAAACGAGTTGTAATATTGGATTAGAACTTTGCACAAGTTATTGAGTGATTACACTAGTCTGTTAAAATATTTTTATTTGTTATTGTTGTACAAAAGTATAATTTAGGACAATAAAACTGATATAGGAGCCAAACTCAAGTCCAGATTCACTTGCACAGTATGACTAAGCTAACAAACACTTTTTAAAATTACAATCAGCTATGCTATTAAAAATAATCTCACTTACCAAGTTCTTCAAATCCTTAAAGAAATGTACATCCCAGCCATCAACAAGGACAACTGGTTTCTCTTCCCCAACATACATCTACAAAAAATGTACAAAATCCATTCAGATACAGTCTTACCATAATATAGTAGGTTAGGATGTACTTAACGCAATATAAAAAATATACACAAAATGGCATAATCATAAGTGTCCCAATTTAACCTGTATTTAACTTTTTTATGGAATAATGCACAAGCACTTAAAAATTACATGAAAGTAATGAAACATAGGAATGAATTTTTGCTGTTTACAAGTGCTTGTATATTAAAGGTTAAAGTACTGGATTAAATATACAGTATATATATATTTGTGTAAGTGTTGTAATAGTAAAACCTTATATTTAAATCATTTATTACAAGAAACTGTCATTGAAAACGTTATTATGATCAAGAAAGACACCTCTTGGAGAACTGGGATAACAGGCGGGCTTCTTTGTTGAAGGAAGTACAGCACCATTAGAGTGTAAGCATATGAAGACAGACTCCCACGTGACGCATCTCCAATATCACACACCTCAAAACACACACATGATAAATATATGACATCTGATGCGTCTCATTTAACCAAATGTTCAATCTTTTCATCAAAAGCAACTTGCTGGATTCTTTCTTATTCTAGCTTCAAACACGGCCACTAAAGTTTTACGATCTCTATGACTGAAGCAGTGATGACAGTGACGATATGTGAAACTTACTTTTGCGAACACTTTCATGACGTAGCAGAGGATCTTCACCCGAATGTCAATTGCAGCATATGATGCCAGTAACTCAGTGTTGTGCAAAGCCTGAGGAAATAAAAGAGGAAAATCCTGGTTGCTCTTTATTTTACAATATGTGCACCTACAGTGTACTTACATGAGAAAGTAGTGAGATATAGAAGTGAACTACTTGGACTTAATATGGATTTAAAGTGAAGATAAGGTTAGTACCTTGTTATTATAGTAAGCACCCCAAAAAAAGCACTGTAATATGCAATATTTGTCACTATGTTTTTCCTTTACATTATGAAAATAAATAAATACAATATACATACATACAAATTAAATAATAATAAAAAATTCACTGGTATCTACATTTTTAAATTTACAACAGAAAGACCAGGAGAGTAGGTGAGTATAGTAACTGCACAAAATTCTGTAATTTATCTCAAATAATTGCACCTAAAGTTTGTGATCATAAATATATTTTAAGTCACCAAATTATCTTTGAAACAAGACAGTATTTTTACATATTTGCTATTTTAAAATTTTAGTTTTACTATGAATGAAAGCCACTATAACTGATACAAATACTGATATCTCAATTCAATAGATTTGATATGATATAAATTATTTTTGCCAGCCCTACTTTTTATGCTAGTTAGAAGTAACAATCTTAAAGTGATTTTGAAGTGATCCTGACCTACTGTATTCATAAATACTTGATTTGACTTGATTGATGAACATAGACATTCACTTCTGACTCTTTGCAATATGTTCAAGTTAAATATCTGGACCAGATTGAGAGAAACAACAACAACAAAAAAACAAAGGACAAAAATCAACCCCTTAAACATAATTATAATAAATACATATAATATTGTCTAAATGACTCTTACTGAACTATAAAATCTCTCATAACTACTGAATTAACAGGCATGAAATTAACAAATGTGGTGCGTGTGGAAAAGTGTACCTTTTGAGAGCAAAAGTGGGCAGTAACTAGCAATAACAAAGGAATTTATTTCAGCATACAAGCACTTTTCAAGAGCCAAATAATGAATTCTGTAATAATGAACAAATCTAAATCACAAAAGCTATTTATTTACATTTCGAAAATTGAGCTTTAGATGCTGCAGTGGCTATTTAATGACAAGACGTCCGACCAAATTAAACTCTGCAATAAAAAAATGAGATTTTATGAACTAAGGGGGCATTAAGAAACCCAAACAAGCATAGTACTTGTCCAATGCTGAAATACTAACGATTAAACTTTTGCGATAAGGAAGGAACTACGTCCAAGATCAATAACGTTATAATAAAACTGCTCTCTTCTTAGCACTTTAAACAACTGCAATATTCAGTGTCATTAAACAATGTTGTGTCAGGTTTATTCTCTCACCAGTGTATTGTACAAGCTTATATCTCCCTCTAGTCCAGTTTTGGTGTGGTAAAACTTCACAATTGGAACTTTTGCAGAAGTAATAGGTAGGATGTTTCTCAGGGCTAAAATGAATGGATAAATAGACATGGCAGAGGTAGAGAGAGATGGGGTGTAAAACAAAACCACTGATTTATTTTAACAACACATATTTAAAGTGGAGGTTGCCTGAAGCATACAGACGGACTCTTTGTCATTTCATCAACCATTAAGAACATTTGAGGTACGGAGAGGGGAATATATAGAAACAATATAGTCTTTCCCTTCCTGAAAATGTCAAACTGAATGAAGTGAGCACCTGCCCTCTACAGTAATGTAAACAGGCAATTTCATAATTACACCCAAAAACTAAAACGAGAACTTACCATGGTGTTTTCGCAGTGCTTTAGTCAAACTCTCTATAACAGCCATGGAGTCCAAACCCTGTCAGTGGAACCAGAAACTCGATCAATGCAAAATAGGGGTGTAAACGGGGTCTAAAAAAGTGCCTAAATAAAGTTTTCGCAGTCTTTTCATCTGGCTGGGTAAGATTTTATTCAATGTTGAAAACAAGTTGTGCTGCTTCATATTTTTGTGGAAACTGATATATACAATTTTTCAGGATTATTTATAATATTTTATAAAATATTAGTAACAAAAATTAATTTCCACTTTTGCCTACTTTTCTTTAAACACAAAAAAAGGGTTACAGTGGGTTACAGTGAGACACTTTCAATGGAAATGAATGGGGATTATTCTTAAATGTTAAAAAAACAACGTGTAATGTAAAAAACACGATGTAAGCAACGTGATCGTAGTCTGAAAAATATATTTCTGTATAAAGTTATTTTACAGTAAAACTTTGCCATGATAATGCAACATCGTAACAGCTGTAAAAACAATGACATACACAGCTTTGCAGCACATACAGAACAGTTCTAACCATTTTAACACTATTCAGACTCACTGTAATGAACACTTTCTGTCTGTGTCATAAAGATGTAACGATTACCGGTTTGACGATAAATCATGATAAAATTCCCTACGGTTAGTATTACCGTTTCATATATTAATGATCATTAATACCGTATTAGATTCCTGCGATTTGAACAACTCACAAAAAAATAAATACTGTCCAGCATAAAGCACAGTTTTAAGTAACAGTCTCACGTGCACACAGCACACAGAATAGTTTTGTTTTGAGTGAAAACAGGGCGGAAAGCTGGGAGGTTTTAAAAGAGTGTTAAGGGAATTATACAAATGAATATATGAATTAATTAATTATATGAATGTACCTCTGAAGGTTCTGACTGTCTTCAGTAATGATTCGATGGCATTTTGTTTTCATCTTCGCTCCATGTAATACCTAAAGCAAGTGTTCTTAATCGCAATACTGCTTTGTCCACGGAGGTTAC